ACAGCTCAGACGCAGACTTCTCGCCCGTATCCAGTTATCCTAGCGTAGGCGTTATTTCATTTTGTTTACTTTTCTGTGAAGTTTTTTAATTAAAAGATGAATATTAAGACAGTGCTGCTTTGGTGCCAGATCACTGAGCAAGTCCCAGGCTCATTTTACGATGAGGGAGCTAAAGAGCCCGTGAATTAGCAATTCACTCCTCCTGCTAACAGTTGAGAATTCCCGAGTTACATTCTTCCTTTTTCCCTGGGGTAAATTCCTGTTACGTAACAGACTCTTGGAAAGTGGGTAATCCAGTGGCATTTGGTGTATTCGGTGTTGCCCAGCCATACCCCTGCCCAGTCCCAGAACATTTCATCTCCTGCACCCCACCCCCACCCCCTACCCCCAGTGCTAGAGTGCTCCATGGCATCCTCCCGGCTCTCCTCACAGCAGCCGGCTCTCCTCACAGCAGCCCGCTGCTCAGGTTCATCACGGGTGTGGCAGGGCCCCTGCCTCAGCCCTCCGTTCCCATGTGCGACACGCGTGTGTCCTGCAGCAGCTCATGGACATGGGGCTGTGCCCACTTGTCCCCTTGTCCCTGTGTAGCTGCTGTGGACATGGTGTAGGTTTGTTAGAGCACCTGTCCTCGGTGGGTTGAGGTCGATTCTTAGGCGTGGGAGTGCTGGGCCATATGGTAATTCTATGTTTAACTTTAAGAAATGGCCCTGCTTTTCTATAGCAGCTGCCCCTTTTGCATTCTCACGGCAATCTATGAGGTCAGTCCCTGCACCCTGGCCAGCACTGTGATTCTCTCTCTCTTTTTAAACAATGTAACCCTTGGTGACATTTTTTAATACTTTTTTAAAATATATTTTTATTGATTTCAGAGAGGAAGGGAGAGGGAGAGAGAGAGAAACATCAAAGATGAGAGCCAATCATTGACCGGCTGCCTCCTGCACACCCCACACTGGGGATTGAGCCTGCAACCCAGACTTGTGTCCGTGACCACCTGGTTCATAGGTTGACGCTCACACTGAGCCCCAGCAGCCATTCTCATTCTCTCTCTCTCTCTCTCTCTCTCTCTCTCATAAGCCATCCTACTCCCACTCCCCTTTTCTCTGAAATTAATGAAAATATATAAATAACTAAGCCACCCTAATAGGTGTGACATGCTTAATTATATATTTTTTTAGAATTTTAAATCATTTTTTATGACCACATCATTGGTGGGTGGGTTTTTAATAAATACTAATATTTTCACATACTTTTTCCTTTTGCATTATTTTTGGAGCAAGTCCTTGTGTGGGAGCCCAGGGCTGGGGCCTGGCTCTGCCTCATTGCCAGTTCCCTTCCAGTTCCTCGTCCAGCTGGCAGAGCACAGAGCTGCCACACACTCCACAGCAGGGGTTCATGGGATAAAGAACTTGTCAGTCTGCTTGGTACTAAAATGGAACTTCGTCATATGTTTGGTGATGGACGGCATGGTTGGAATTTTTTTCCACGTTCATGATTTGACTTTTCCGTGATCAGAATCAGTGTTGGTGCACTTTTTTTCCTTTTTACTCTTTTCACTGGAATTTTCTTAATGTAGAGAGCCACTATTGTATGTGTTGATTTCCCCTTGTTCTTTATATATATATATATATATATTTTATTGATTTTTTACAGAGAGGAAGGGAGAGAGATATAGAGTCAGAAACATCCATGAGAGAGAAACATCAATCAGCTGCCTCCTGCACATCTCCTACTGGGGATGTGCCCGCAACCCACGTACATGCCCTTGACCGGAATCGAACCTGGGACCTTTCAGTCCACAGGCCGACGCTCTATCCACTGAGCCAAACCGGTTTTGGCCCCCTTGTTCTTTTTGTATGTGTGTGTTTTATAAACATAAAATATTTATAGGGTCAAATTAGTTCATTTCTCTCTTATTTTTTAGTATTTTGTAAGCCCTTCTGAGCTTGTGGGTCACGCGTGTTTTCCTGTCTCCACTCCAGCATTTATATAATTCCGCAGCCTTCAAAGCCCGGACGAAAGCTCGGAGCAAATGTCGCGACAAGAGAGCAGACGTGGGCGAGTTCTTCTAGATTCACACGCGAAGACGACTTCCTGGTCCCCAGCTCCTTCTTTTGTAATTTCTCATGTATTTAAACTCTGTAGACAGTTTTTATCGTGGGTCAACCTAGATAGCTTTTGTAGCAGGGGTTCGATTACTTATAATTTAATGTATAGATTGCAACTGTGAGTTCTGATTATGGACTTTTCTCTGTAAATATCAGTAAACCATGAAGAAGGTGTTTGTGATGTTTGGTCATTTTTGTCTATTTATGAGGAAGCAGAAATAGGATATTTCATAAGAAAACTATTAGCCAAGATGAACTGTACATACTGCGGTGTGTCAGACATTGATTTAATGATACAGATATTATAAGGCATTTCAGATCTTAGACAAATGAGTTCTGGAGACAATTTTGGCAGCTAGTTTTTTCTGGAAAAGCTGCTGTGTTTTTCACTGTCAGTGGAGGCTGATGCTTTTACCTGATCACTCGGACCCACGAAGGGAAGGCGGCCCAGCTGTGGGGCCAGCACCGTGACCGTGACACTAACTGCCCCTGTTGTGAGGCTCCGCGCTCTCCATCCCCAAATAAAGGTCTTTTCACAGAACGTGCGTGCTTGTTTTCTGTTCGAGGAAACATTGTTTATGGGCCCGAGGTGCATGCAGAGTGCAAAGTGAGGAGGCTGTGGGGGAGGGAGGGAGGAGGGAGACGCGAAAACCGGTGGGAATCGCACGGATTCGGCTCCTGGCTGAGGACTGGCTGCGTGGCTGCTGGGGGGGGTTCCTCGCGTCGGAAGGAGCGAGCGTGCTCTGTGCGCTGGGCTGTACCTGAAACTGCCGAGTGACCTTGCACAGTGGCATCTGCACTTGGATCCGCAGGTGCCGAACACGAATCAGTCTCTTGCTTTGAACTCAGTTCTCCAGACGTCTGACCAGTCAGCCTGTGAAGCTCACCCTCTCCCCCGGTGGAGCCCCGACTAGGGCTGAGGAACTGCTTGGTCTCCATCTCCTCCCAAGGCGAGGCGGGGTAATGCCTCCAGGGTGGGTCCCAGGTCCCCAGGCGGGGGAATGCCTCCAGGGTGGGTGTCAGGTCCCCAGGCGGGGTAATGCCTCTGATGGGGGGCAGGGGATCAGGTCCTGGAGCGAGCAAACAGACCCTCTATCTCTTCAAAGATGAGGGCTTGAGGCAGAGCAGGTCGCTTGGAGATTGGTGTTAAAACAACACGATAGTTAAGCATTTTCACTTAAGAAATTGGACATCACTTTTTCATATAAAGTGCTTTTGAATTGATCCTAGGTATAGATGACACTTAAGGAAATGCCATGTCGCCTTGGCCAGTGTGGCTCAATGGATAAAGCATTAGCCTTCCGACAAGGGACCCAGGTTTGATTCCAGTCAAGGGCACATGCCCAGGTTGCAGGCTTGATCCCATTAGGAGGCGTGCAGGAGGCAGCCAATCAATGATTCTCATTGAAGTTTCTCTCCCTCTTCCTCTCTGAAATCAATCAAAATATTTTTTTTAAAAAAGAAAGAAAATGCCATTCCTTTACCCCGAAGGTAGAGCGGGGGTCTGAACTGAATGTAGATGCACCAGAAATTTTGTGACGCAAACTTTCCTGATGTGTGTTTCAGGGACGTCCTGTGTCTGTCTGCGCCCAGCAATGGGAGGTCGGGCTCTAAAGCCTGCGGATCCTGTTACCTCCCAGCCCTAGCCCCTGCTGGGCAGGTAGGCTTTGGGCTTGCTGATCTCTCACTGTGGCTCCTCCCGTGTCCAGCAGGGGGCAGAGCTGCTTGACGTGTGTGTGTGTGTGTGTGTGTGTGTGTGTGTGTGTGTGTGTGTGCGTGTGCGTAAGTTTGCATGCATGTGCCGGAAGCCGATCCACACTTGCTGCTTGACATAGTCACTGCAGGGAAGAAACATCTGTACAGCTTATGTTTCAAGGGACCTGGAGAGAGAGAGAGAGAGAGAGAGAGAGCTCAGAGCTCAGCCTTTGCAAAGGATGGTGGTGAGACAAGTGCCTCCATTGCCTGCCCCGGTGGGTGTGCGGCCACACACTCCTCCCCTCGCCGCCGCCCCGGTAGCTCCCAGCAGCGCCCGCAGTCCTCCTGCCACCACTAGTTCCAATGTCACCTTGGCCTGCCCCCTGCACTGCTGGGCAGAGGCCTGTGCGAGCGGGCCGTGGCGGCAGCCTGCTCAGCTCGGATGTTTGTCTCGGGGAGCACGCCGGCTGCCCTGCTGGAGACGGGCCGGCCCCCAGGGTCACAGCGGCCAAATAAGGACATCAACTTCAGTAAGAGCCTCAGTGTGCCCCATGCTGCTCTCTCTCCAGCTTGGGTTCGGTGGCTCAGTTACTAACCCTGGGGCACCAGAGGGAGTCGGCCTGGAGCCGCCTGCTGCTCAGGTCACCACCAAATGCCGGGCAGCCTGGCCGGGCCCGCGCGGGGGGAGGCCGCGGGAGGACTCGCTTTTAGAGGGTTCC